AGGTGCGCCGGCGGTGCCAGGCCCGGGTCCGCCGCTGCCCGGCGGCGCGCAGGGAGCGCGGGGCTTGAGGGCTGTGCGCGGCCGCGCGCGGAGCCGAGACGGATGTGGTGACTCTGTTATTATCCACTTCAAATATATCGGCCAGGGAGGTTACCTCCGTGATAACAGGGGTGTGGTGCTGGAATTGTTCTCCCCGGCGTGTTTTTCTGAAAACAAAACCAAACAAAAACCCAATAAACGGGCTGCCTGATTTGGACTGGAAACCTGACCTGAAAGAGCGTTTCCAGCTTGAACTGCCGGGCAGAGAGAAGCCAGGGCTAAATATCCCACTAACTCGATGATCCTGCGACAGTGCAGCCAGTGCCTGGCTGCGGCTCTCTCCCTGGCAGGAGCAGGACATGTTTGTGGGCAAGTACAGTCCTAAAACACCTACACCGCGCGGGACCCCTGCGAGATGATCCACGGAGGGCTACAAGCCCTGAACTGCTTGGTTTCAGCACCAGCACCGCCAGCTGCTCGGACTCGTGTCTGGGGGGGGCGGGTGCAAGCAGAAAGCTCCCGCTGTAAATACATCAGATACATCAGATATTTGGAGGGGGAGGGGGGCCGTTTTCCTTTCCGCGTGTTCCTGATGTAACAAAAGCGTCATTTTCTATTAGGCATGTTTGGCAATTGGTCCCCGATGGCATGCTTTTTTGGCCATCTTTTCACACCGCCTGTGCCAGAGTGCACGAGGTGGGTGACCATCGCTGCACTTTGTGATCAAAACAAAATAAAATGTGGAAAAAAAACAACCTTTGCAGGCGCAAACTGTACAGAGAGCGCGAGTGTATTTGAAGGGCAGATGAGCCAAAAGTTTGCTCTGATAACGTCTAGGGATGAACCAAATTAGTTTTCTTTGTAAATGCACCATCTAGTGGCGATAAATATACCCTGCAGCTAGCCCTCAAATACGGCCTGAACGCCGGGAGATGAAAGAATCGAAGGTAGAAGCCCGTGGGAACTAGACTTACTTTTGAATAAAACTTGAAAAATCCAGAATTCCGATCATTTAGAAACTTCTGGTAGTGTTTTAAATGATGCATTGAAGTGCCGTCAGTTCAGTCTGCCCTGTGCAAGTTATGAACCAAAGATAAAGTCAAGGGCCAAAATGTTCCAAACCAAAAGCCAAAGCTAGTGTTTGGTGTGGCCATCTAGAAGTTGCATTGGTGTCAATGGGGGCACAGCGCTTCTAAAAATCAGTCCACTTCTGGTGTCTCAGATTAAAAGCTTAACTCTGAGCACATGGGTTAAAACATTTTGGCAATGGTCCCTGCCCCCAAGGCTCTGACAGTCTTAGAGGTTATATATGTTAAGATATACATGTGTCCTGTGCACAAGGCAGCTGCTAATGGCAGATACAATAAAAATGCAGGATAGGTTCTCTTGGGAGAAAAACCTATAGGAAAGGAGGGTTTCAAAGGGATGTAGAAAAGTAGCATTTCAATTTGTGCCCTCATTGAGTCAGATACATGTGGAAAACATGGCAATTCTCACAGTGAGCCTAGATACTAGACGTAATGCTGGGACAGGCATATAACACCATGTATCAGCTTAGCACATGGATCAGCTGGAAGAGGAGAGAGGTATGAGGCTGAGAAGGTGACCACCATGAGTCTGTAGCTCTCCCACCAGCTGTGGGACACTCCTGCTCCTGCTCCCTACAGCCAAAGCCTCAAGCCAGCCCCAACTCTCACCCCCTGCCCAAGTGCCACCAATTGCTGTCACCATTGGCAAGGGACTAGGATGAATTTGATCCCACAGTAGGGCAGTGCCCTCAAAGCACCTAGGACTCATACCCAGGTCTCCTTACCCCTACTACTGACTGTAGTACCAATAAATAATAATACAGTGAGATACCTGGGATTTGAGCAGCTCTTGATAATGGATCTTGGCTTTACATGAGAGCAAACATAACCCTAGCCACTAAGTGGAACTACCAACCCTATCACGGATGCCAAACTCTGACACATCAACTGGAAGCCTGGAGTTGCAGTTCTGAAAGTGATTCCTTCCCTTCCATCTGTGTTATCCAAAGGCTTTTTTCCACAAAAGAGTTGTTTAATTTTTTCTTTTTAAAATTGTCTCTTACTCTCTTGCTGCCTTTCATGATTAATAGAGTCACTATTAACTTTCAAAGAGGTACTCCACTTACTATTACCTCTATACTGTACAGTTTTTCTGCATGTAGCTGCCCCTCATCCAAGTGGCAGCAGTTGTTTGCCTGGTAGGTCAGGTTTCCATTGGAAAAGAAATCAGTGATGCCAAGTCAGAGTACTTTTGTAATGTACCGTGTTTTACTGATGCAATATATACAACTGCTCTTGAATGATAGAGCATGAAGGCAGTGTCAGGAATTTCCAGGGATATCAAGCCAAATCCAGTACCTAGTTCTTACATAGCAATTTGACCCCCAAAATGAGTTTCTAAACATTGGAAAAATCAGGGAGCAATTTAAAATTATCTTTTATAATTCACAGTCCATGCTTTTCCCTAGTATGATATACAAAATAAAATTCAGGAGTTCATTAAGTTCAGTTCATTGTTTGCTTCTTTGCCCCTAATGCTAAAGTCAAGATCCGTTGTTTCATCCAGCTGATATGCACAGCCTGAAAGAAATCTAGGTCGTCTGTTAGGTACCAAAAGATAGAATTGCCTGTGTTAAAACTAAGCACATTTTTGTCCCCATAGGATTCAACACCACAGCAATAAAAACAAATAATTTACTGTGCTGTTGACTGATTTGCTTTTATTCTGTTATTCCAAATATTATCTATTGTGTGAGGGCTATAGATCTAGTTTGCTGAGGTGTCGAAGACAACACATGACTCAAATTGCCCCACTGAATCACTGGCCCTTCTAAAAATCTTCAAAGCCTAATCTGCACTTTTCACTTGTCTTACAATGTATAGATGCACACCATCTTCCTTTATATACTGTTCCTTTTTAGACTGCTTATTTAAGATAACATTTAAGGATCATGCAATAAAAATCAATGCACAGCATTACAATAAAAATGTGCAGCCCTCAAATAGAGCAGAAACTTCTCTGTTAAACCTGTGGACTTCTGGGAAATTACTGGAAGGACCAGGCAAAAAGGGGGTGAAAAAAAGTGAGAACAAAGAAAGAAATCGGGGGGGGACAGGGGGTAGCAGGGGGAATCAGCAAAGGTTAATCCTACCACAATAAATCATACCTGAACTCATACTTTAAATCATGAGCCTTAAAGCATACCTTAAAAGTAGCCAAAAAAAAAAACCTAGGGTCCATGATTCCCTGGGGAAATGTTCTTCAGATAAAAAAACCTGAATATTGATTATTTATCTAACTGCAGTATGCCCCTGATTGAATTCCCAGAGGCAGAACCAGCATGCCTCAGAGTCCAACAGTAGGAGGCAACAATCAATAGCTTTATTTACTGAAACTAGTGCTGTGAATTTTGTGATGTGCTGACAACAAATACAAATCACAGCAAGTTGTTATCAGGGATACTCACTTCTGTTCTACAGGGACAAGTTAGCAAGGCTGCATTCTGCTAGCTTAATACTTTAGAAACAAAGCTCTAGTCTTCTGTATTAGCTATCTTTCTAGAAAAACACATATTTTAATTCAGCTTCTGGGATGAATACTGCAGTCTGCATGTATGCAGATCATCAGACTAGATGGTTAAAATTGTCTTTCCTTGCCCTAGACTCTATGAAGCTATACCACAGGGCCGTGTTCTGTAAGATATACTGGGCTCAGGGTGAGGTAGGCAAGCACTGATGAGAGACTGAGACTCATAGGTCGCATCCAGACGAGTGCAGCTCCACACATTGCACATTCGGGCATTTCCCACACTGTTACCTTGCAGCATGGGGGGAGGAGGAGAGGGATTTTGACCCCTGAAGATCCAGGGGTCAAAAAAACCCAAGCAGAAAAAGAGGGAGGCAGTGCACATGGAGGCAGGGTGCACCGCCAAAAACTGGAGCCTGGGCAGTCAAAGCCATGCTCCAGCTGCTGGCCAGGCTCCAAGCTGCAGGAGTGACTGCAGCTTCCCTGGCCCCCAGGACCTCAGGTATAGCTGCTGGGGCCGGCACAGTTGCTGGTCCCAGCCTCCCCAACCCACCTGAGGTAACCTGCTGCACACCAAAGGGCACTTGGCACAGTCATTCCCCAGAGACAACTAGCAGTGGCGCAAGGTTTCCTGCTGCTAGCTGTCCCTAGGGAACCAAACATCTGCGCTTGTCTGGATGCAGCCAGAGGGGCTACATGTTTGGTTCAAGGTCATAGAGGCAACGGATATTCATGGATTGGTACTCTTGAGTTTGATTGGCAGCCCTCTCAAGATCATGGCCCTCCTGTCTCTCACACAGAAGACATTCACAGGTCTTAGAAAGCACATCTGGGACAATAGGATGACGAGTTTATTCCATGTATGATATATTCATTCTCTCCATATATTACCAGAGAATACATTTCCATTTCTTTATTTAGCAGCAACAGCTTTGTCTTGAACAAAGACTAGGCCTAAGTTACACCCTGGAGCCATTCATCACTTGTTGCCACAATGGTGTTTCTATTGTTAATTTCTGTCAGGGTTGCTTTTAGGGGTTAGGCAGTGCAGTGATATAATACACTAATGAGTCAGCCCTGAAAACACAGGCTCAAATATAGATCAAGTCAGAAGAAGGTAGCTGAGACTGGTAGTCTCAGTAGAGTTCTTTTCTGAATGTCTCAGAAAAACCAGACCACAGACAACTATAATGCCGCTCTGCTAAGGTAAATTCACTGTTGCTTTTGGTTTCAGGATTGAAATGTGTTGACTAAGCTAAGTAAGGAAACTTGCACAATGCTTGGCTCTCATCAGGGTTATTAATGTCTCATTTTTCATAAGTATGAAGATCCAAAGTTACTGAAGAAATGCAAAAAACATTTTTTTAAAGATGGCTTCTCACATGAGATCATGAGAGAGAATGTGGTTAAAAGTCCATTTTGTAACTATATCCTAGATGCATATACCATCAATACCCCAACTCTGGCTCCCTTTTATCAGGCTAATGATAGCTGCACTGTTTTGTTGTCAAAACATCTCCTGTAATAGTCAGCTTGGAGAGTCCTTTCAGTAGCAGAATTTGAGAGGTTAATACAAAAGCACTCTCCATATTAAGAGCCTCTTATCTACTAAATGGTTGTTTTAAAAAAATTAAAAACAATAAATAAATAAAATGACAAAGCCTGGTAATTTCCAAGGCCTTCTACTTGTTGCCTGCTGATGTAATATATCACAAGGCTGACAGCCCCAATAACCCTTTGTATCTTGTCATTTTTTTCAGCTGCATGTATAAGTGGACTGTAAAGCAAATAGTAACAGGCTGTAGATGTGCATTCTGGGATGAGTAAATTATGTAAGATGCTGCTGCAGGTCAGAAATCAGGAAGGACAAGTTTCCTTCACTGTCTGGATTTTCATATCACAGATATCAGGGCTGATGCTGAGGACTAGACCAGTATAGACCTCAGAATCTGAGTATTGCCTGGTTTGGATTTTGGTCATAATATAAACAACAATTCAGATTTTAAAGAATCGTATGACTATTCAGTGTCTGAAACAAGACTGAGATATACATCCGAGTGTGCTGAAAGAGTGACTGTGGGATTTTTGTGCCTTTTGGGAGATGAACCTATAATAATTCTTCCAGCTCCCAGAGAGCTGAAGGCCCAGGCAATGGCTTGTGGTTTCAGGGGTTAATTCCAAGCCAGAATATAGAATTAGCTCAGGGAGGCACTTGCAGCTGGGAGCTAATTAGGTGCAGCTGAACATAGTAACTGATAGGCTCCATGCCTTAGAGGAGTTGGGTTACTCCTCAGAGAAGAGACAGGCAGGGAGTTATGCTGATCAGAAGCCAGGAGGAAAAGTCTGGGTAGAGGTAAGAGTTGTCCTGTTTGGTTTCTCTGTTTTGAAGCTTTCTGGCTATGAAGCTGTTTGGAAGGAATGCAAATGGAGATTCTTGCCAAGTTTGTCCCATCATGT